GAAAAGCTTGGTTTTGCTGTATAAATTCTAATGAACATGAGTTTTTACTTGGTAGGCCTACACTAACCATCTTATGCATTTTGAACACCAGATGAAAATCGTTACTTCATTTACTGGACATTTACACCCACACAAATGACTGTCTGGCGGCTACTCTAATCTAACAGACAACATCTATTGATGCCCTATTTGAATGCCACCAACAGTGGTATAATCGTTCAATACAATGACGGATTTCCTCCTCTACTGACAACTGCAAAAACGTTAGCAATTCCCAGCAGCACGGTCTTTTGTTCCGAGTACGGTCTTTTGTTATAAGGCCTAGCTCTTTTGTCCGGTTTCGGGCTCCCCGGTTTCGAGTATAAAGCCTACGTGTCTGAAACCGGGCTCCCCCAGCAGGAAGTGGTTAATACAGCTGTCTCAGGGAACAGCTTTGGTAAACTCAGGTATCAATGATCTATCTACAACAGTAGCAGGCATTAAGCAGTGATTACACGTTATATGCACTGATTCGTTTTACCTCTTCAATCGGTCTGCTCTTCTTAGCCTTTTTCTTCCACATCCCTCGCTCCATGCCTCTCTCCTCTTCCTCCCTGACCTCATCTGTTTCCACGACAACTGAATCCTGCACTCCCCTGCCCAACCTCTTGCCTCTTCCTTCGACTCCTGATGGAGGGATGACATCGTCTTCGGTCTCAGCGACCACCGACTCGATGATGTCCTCCGTTGGTTTGTGGGGGTTTTCTTTCGAGTCATTCTCCCTCTTGATTCGTGATCTCGTCTCACTGATCCTTTCTGAAGGCGAGAAGAAGTCATCTTTAACGGAAGGCCCCTGGTACAAAGAATCTTCGATGGCAGCTGCTCTTTCTTCTTTCTCAGGCTTGACAGAGCTTCTACTTAACCTATTCTGAAAGGTAGTGGCAACAGTTTCTCGTTTCTTGGCGACGGGCGATGATTTTCTACTCTCTTTTTCGTCTTTGATGTCGGTCTTTAACACATCCTTAAAGTTAGCAGACTTTTCCTCCCTTGTTTGCAATATTGGTTTGCCTATGTAAGGCAGCTCTGGGGATGTTCCTGGGATAGGGCCAATGTTGGTTCCTGCTGGACCAGGGGCAGTGACCGGAGTTGATGGTGTCTTGCTTAGCTTACTCGATTCCCTCCTGAGGACTTTGGATGGTGAGGCAAAGTTGGCAGCATCGTCATCACCTCGTAACCTGTGTAAGCAACACACAACTCAAATGGAGCGGGTAACAACTTGAGAAAGAGTGCTATGACCTGGGAGTTGGAGTAGAATTAAGTTTCTCACCTTTTCTTGGATGAAGTCTGCTCCAGTCTGTCTCCAGCCTCATCCGGTTCCTCCCTCTGGCCCACGGACCGTAGAGGACTCCTTGACGAGCCCAGCTTGCTCTTTGTGGCCGTGTGGGATCTGGGGAGTTCTGAGGGCTGGGTCTGAGAGGCCAAGACGTCTTGAGTCGGCAGAGAAGGAGCTGCCACGGGATGAATGAGGGTCAGGCCGGCTAGAGATGCAAAGACAATCGTGAATTATTTCAAAGCTTCAATCACAATTTTAGG